CAGGGCTATCTAAAGACACATTCGGTAGTGTGTTAACTATACAAAAAAAGACACTGTACAGTTTAAAAACAAATCTTACACAGCCTTACATTTCAATTTTTTTCTTTAAAAGGAGTGAGTTGTGTACAGGGGGGTTAAATGCTTTATAGACAAGAAAAAAAAACTGCGCTAGAACCAACTTATTCATCATCATCATCTTCTTCTTCATCTTCGTCTTCCTCTTCTTCCTCCTCTTCCTCATCCTCTTCATCCTCCTCCTCATCTTCTTCTTCCTTCTTTTTCTTGCTCTTTTCAGCCTTGACGACCCCCTTCTTCGCCGCATCGGGTTTTCCTTTAGCTCTGTAGGCAGCAATATCCTTCCAAAACAAAGGGAGGAGAAAATAACAGAAGACACACACACAAAAACATGACAGAACTTCAGTCTCCACAGCACACACGTCGGCCCACTGAACCTCCCAAATGACCAGAGCATGGGGAAAGGCACATAAAAATGAACAATTAGCAGCCCACAACTCAGAGATGACAGTCCACTATCGGTATTGCTATGCCTCACTGAGGTGCAATTATGTACCGCATCCTAACTCTCGTTTATGAGAACTAGAAGGCAGCGACTGATCAAAGGGTAACACTGCCACCTTCTGAACACAAAACAGCATTCCACAGGTTCATGGCCAGACCTTAGTTATTCATAGTAGAATAGTGTGTGTGTGATATGCTAGTAAACACGCATTAACAGCTATAAATGGATTATTTTCAGAATAAATGAACTTAAAAGTTGGTTTAAGTATTTAAGCATTTCAATTTAGGTATAGGAATCACAACTTTCCTTCATCCTATTTATAGTTACCTTGGCAGGCTTGAAATTTAACTTTTTTAATCCAAAGTGAACATAATGTGTATAGACAGTACAGTTATGTAGTTATTTTGCCTAACCTATTTTTGTACTGTATGCCTAACCATTTAAAAATCATTCTCCCCCAAAGTAACTACCCAATTTTCCTGAAAGTTGGAGACATCAAGAAATAAAATTAAAACAGCTTAAATATATGGCCTCAGCTCAAGTCAGACTCCATGCAATTTTTACAATTCCTATTGAAAAATGGACTCTGCAAGCACAAAGGAAACTGAGTCCTCAAGTGGAATCATTTCTTGTCCCCCTTGGGGGGAGAGCAAGCCCACACTCCTTACCTTCTCGTACTTCTCCTTCAGCTTGGCAGCCTTCTTCTCGTAGGGCTGCTTGTCGTCCGCAGCGGTGTTGTTCCACATCTCCCCCAGCTTCTTCGCCACGTCCCCGATGGACAAGCCGGGGTGCTCTCCTTTGATTTTGGGGCGATACTCAGAACAGAACAAGAAGAAGGCCGAACTAAAACCAGAAATTTATTTTAGAATTTGAACAAAACCAAGTGTTGTCAAACTTGTACTGTTTTGCAATATAAGGACCTACTAATCTCTTGTACTGATGCAGGATATTTTGAATTAGTTTTGAACAATTTCTAAAGATACAAAGGAGTCAAAAAACCCTTTGTAAGCGACAGAGGGTGTAAAGAAACCAACTATCTGAATCCAAATGCCTTGGCTAATGCTTCTACCCAACATGAGTGACAACTTTGACACCTTACATACACGACCAGAAACCAGACACTGGACACTCAAGGTAGCCCAATCAATTTGTATCTACCGTGAAACACCTCAAAATAAAAGCTGTACTCACGGAGGCCTCTTGGGTGCATTGGGGTCCTTGAACTTCTTTTTGGTCTCCCCTTTGGGGGGGATGTAGGTTTTCATTTCTCTCTCATAACGAGCCTTGTCAGCCTTTGCCATGTCTTCAAATTTCCCCTTTTCTTTAGCAGACATGGTCTAGAAAAGTTAATGGTAAACTTGACACAACATTTACTAAGGCCCGCGGTCTGAGAACAGCCAGCCAGGCCCCTTCATGTCATGTGGAAGAACTGGCTGTCAGTGTTTCAATCCCCCTTACCTTCCACCTTTCTGAGCACTTCTTCGAGAACTCTGAGAAGTTGACAGAGGCATCCGGGTGCTTCTTCTTGTGTTCCTCCCGGCAAGTTTGCACAAAGAATGCATATGAGGACATTTTGCCTCTCGGCTTCTTAGGATCTCCTTTGCCCATGTTTAGTTGATTTTCTAAAAGAGAGCACTCAATGTTAGCCACGAGACTGGGATGAGATTGACAAGCTTCAAACCGCTCAGGGTGGCAAGGCCAACCAAAGCCTGTGTTATTTAACAGAGCGGTGACGACAACCTCCCATAAAAGCCAGACAGAACATTGCAAACGCTTTGCTAACCAGTTCCTAGAAGTGGCGAAGCCAGAGAGAAGATAGGACACAGAAAAAAAAAAACACGGTCCCCCAGTGTGATCACACAGAGTGTAGACAGACACACTCAAGCATTCGCTGTCTCTTCTAAACGACTGCCCAACCAGTCATTAAAAACCCTTTTTAAATCTAAAAAGATTTTTTCTTAAACCGGGACGAAACACAAACGCTCATTAAAAAGGAAGAAAACGCACCCTGTCCATTAGTGGATTTCGCAGTGCACAGCGAATGATCCCGTAGACCTTAGAGAATTACAGGCCTAGAAAAGGAGGCAGGGGGGAAAATCCCAAGCCCAAACAATGAATCCCCGCCGTGCACCTAAAGTTTGCCCAGCTCTACGGAACACCGCGGCGGCTCCGCATCCAACTTTGCTCGGGCGGGCGGGCGGAGACGGGGCCGGGGCAGGCCGAGGCCGCCGCTTCCTATCGCTTTGGCCCCGCGATGCGTTTCTGCTCTGACTGCACACGTCCGGTCTGAAGTTTCTCCGAGTAAACAAGGATGAGGGACAAAAGCCACTCCTGCCGCCGCCGCCGTCCCCCCCACCCCTCCCCGCCCCGCCGCCACCCCCGGGGGTGGCCCGGGGCCTGTTTATCCGTCCTTTTTAACACCGGGGCCCGTGCAAAGTTGGGGTGCCCCGGCGCGCGCGCGCTCGCTCGCG